TCTAAATTTAGGCCCGCTACTTGGAATAGGGCGCCGCGCACCGAAATAAACGCCTTCTTTCTCTCTCTCTCACTCACACTCACACCCAACAACCCTTATTTTGAAACACAAAAGCCGCTGGCTGCTTTGCATTTGATGCGCCAGAAATATCACGTCCCATTGCTTCCTAGAGTGCACGCAATCCAACTTTTGATGTGCAAGGGATGAATACTGATCGCGTCCTAAAAGAGACCACCCTTGTTTTATACTTTTTGATTTGTCGGTAGTATTTTTGTTTCGAATTCAATTGGAGAAGCGTTTATAGACAGGTTTATTGCAGCAGGCAACAGGAAACAAATGTGGACTGTAAAAAAGGTTGCTGGGGAACTTTTTATTATATTATATTAACCTGAAAATTAATTTTTTATTTAATATTTTTATATAAATTGAAGGACAAAATAGATGAAATTAATGTCACAGCCAGACCTGGCCACATCTAAACACAATTATCGCAAATGGTTAGTTATCAATTTTTTATAACTTCCGTCTTTATTTTAACTTAATTTAGGCTATTCTTAATGTAGAAGCACATTTCAAATAATTTTGTAGAAAATTTAAAAACTTAAATTTTTTCTTTAATAAAGGTGACTTATTGGAAGCACAAATTTAATTTAAGTTAAAAAATTATTTACGGGGAGGAAATTTTTTATTCTAATTCAAATGAGAAGTTATCCACAAATATAACCACTTTTTTTGGTAATTTTTGTGTATATGGATGCTTTTTTTAACACACTAGGTTTAATTTTATTGTTTTGAAAAAATCTCCCGTCATTCCTCTATAGCGGACGACGTGCGAAAAATTTATATCTCGCGTGGGGCAATTTCGATGTCTTAAGGGGGATTAACTTATGCCGTTTGGTAGATTCGTCTAATTCAAAACAAACGCGTCGACTCTGGCGCACTTTGTGACGCACAGCAAAACAGGAATGCCAAACAAAACAGACCATTAACGCGATCCACGCAGATTAGCATTTCAATTAGCGCAAATCATGTGGAGGGAAACCTGCGTTGAATCGGATCAAAAGAGCGCCTTTGTTTCGCCAGGCCGATTATCATCCACTTTGCCACAGAGGGCGGAAAAGAAAGAAACCAGCTCGGTGCAAAAGCCATTGTGGCTCGGCGACCTCGTTTCCGTGCTAAAAATAAACACGTATCGAGAGTATATATGTGGAGAGGCGAAAAAGAAATAATAAACCATTAAAAAGAAATGATAATGGCGGGGAGTGCACTTGATCGGAGGTTACGTAACGAGACAGGGGTGGTGCATTGCCGGGAGGGTATAAATGGGGAAAAATGTGCTCTTCATAAGATTCAGCCTTGGTTGATAATGGCGCGCATTGATCGACTGGATGGATGGCTGGTGGGGTCGGTTGGGCTTGCGAGCTCTTTCGCTCTCGCACCCAGTTCTATTTTTACTCCTGCTGCTCCCTCCGTTCCCACCGCCTTCTCCCACACGTGGCTCGGTATTTTCTGCGCTATTTTTAGCCGCGCGCATCAACACAGAAATAAACGTTGGCTCGATTAAAATTGAATTATTGCCGCTCATTATAATTTTGTCACAGGCCGCGCCATTTGTTGTTCAGCCAAGTAATGCTCGTCGACAAAACGCGTGCTGATGAATTAACCCCTCGCCCCTAATTTATATGGTTCTCCCTCTCCGGGCGGCCAATTTGCTCTCTGCGGCTATATTTGCCACTCTGCTTTTGGCACCTGCTGGAATGCGCGCCTCCATTTTTTTCGCACTGATTTCGGTCCAAGTGCGCGGCCGCCATCGCTTTTCTCCTACATAAACTTCCAGATTACTCTCGTCACATGTGGATTGAGAAAAAAAAATACTCGTTTTTTTCTACCCCCTCCCATGTTTTTCACAGAATTACATAACCAAGAGTACACATCTGTGGTTTCAGTTGAAAAGGGCGCGTTTTGAAAAGCTCTGCGTGAACACAAAAATGCTCTTAGGATTTTTAATTTAAAAATTTTCTCTAATTTAACAAACGAGAGAATACAAAAATGGGGACTGACCTGATTCAATGTTTTTATTCCTATTACAGAATTATATTTCTGTAAATTTTTTTTGTATGACTTGAGTAGAATAAATAATAATAATAATTTCAATCATTTTGAATAATTATTTACAGAAATAATTATTTATATCTCATTATATTCATATGGTCATAATGTCATGCATTTAATAACTCCTAACAAATCTCGATTACTTTATTTTTGAAGCTTAAAAATCTACGTTTTACAGTGAATATAATTTTTAATACATTACGTACTTTGAATCTATTTGTGAAGAATAATCAACAAAAATAGTGTAAAATTATAATTCATTGAATAATATTTTCTTGATTATTTTATCTATTTTAATTTTTGAGACAGTGAAAGAAAAAAGTTAATTGACAGATTAATAATCTTCAAAGCAATAATTCCAATAATAGTTACGGTTCTCCAATTTTCCTAAATTAAATATATTAATTTTATTTATTCCTCCTATTAAAAGCTTACAACTTGTGTTTAAAAGTGATAGAATAAAATTTTCTAAATTCTTTATTTCAAACTATTATTTGAAGTAACTGTTTTATTTATTATTTATTTTTATATTAATCATCAGATAATTTGAATCTAATAAATTGAAAATGTAAGAGTGAAGCAAATAAAATTCCAAAAATAGATCCTAAATCATCTCTTTTGATCCGTTCCCCCTATCTATTTTGGTCTTCCTTTCTAGAAAATGCCAAATCGCTGGGCTATTTTCCAACCTAGTCTTCCTTCTCCCTTTGTGTTCACAGCGGGTGGGGGCGTGCAATGCCAAAAGCAAAGGCGACGCTTGCAAACTGGACGAAATCGGCAATTGCCCTTTTTTCGGTCGATAGGACACAAAAAACGTCGGTCGGGGGTGCAGCTAGGTTGCGTAAGGCAGGTGTGAATTGCAAACCGTGAGGCAGGCGATGGACGCCGAAAATAAATATTTACCGTCCGGTCGTGTAGGCAACGTGCCGGCTACGAGAGCCGAGCGGGTTGTATAAGTGCGGTTGCGGCAGGGGCGCCCTCGGCCGCATGCATAACGAAATTAGACGGGGGGCGTTTGGCCGACGGGTAATTTTAGATTCACTTAACGCAGCCCTTGTGTTTAAATCGAGACGGGAACAAGTTAATTTAGGTCTTCTCGTGACATTTGTGTTTAGTATCAACGCGTGGGGGCCAAGATGAGAGTTTGATATAGGTCTTGTTTTGGAATAGAGACGCTCGTTTCATAACAGCCGCGGTCACCGCTTTCAAACTGAAAAAAATTATTTTGTTATTCTTCTAAAGGAAAATTAATGTTTTATAATGAACAATAAAATTCAAGCAAAAATTTTTAAATTTTAAATAAAAGGATGTAGATTTTTAAAAAGTTATCAAAATTTTTCAGAATTTAATTCCTTTATATTAAAAGGAATAATTTTTATTCAGTTATTTTTGTCCTCTTGTAAGCAAAACAGAAATTAAATTTATTTTTTATTACTCTTTGCATCTCCGCTTTTAGTGGGCCGAATCCGCCATGCTCATCCTGCTTTTGTTTTTACATCACCAAGGGAATTATGAATGTTATGAAAGCTGGGAATTCGTTTTGATTATGTAATACGTAGTTTGTTTGAGGATTTCTTTACTCATGGGAAAAATCTTCAACCCATAGGGCCTGGGAAATAAAATCACGTTTCGACCTTCCACTATTTTGTATGCAATACTTTATTTGCATTTTGATTGAAAATGCGTCTAGCTTTATTAGTCTGACCAAAAAAATTTAATTGAATTTAATCAATATATCATTTGACACGGAAAAATGTAACAACCTTAAATTATTCAATAAGTTCAAATTTTTTTGAGGCAACGAAATATGGTAATAATACTTAAATTTCACTTTTAGATGGGCTGAAATTTTTTATTTTGACCTTTTGGTATATTTTAAGAAATCACTTGCGAACACAAAGGGTCAGCCTGAAATATGGTGAATTCATATTATTGGAGTTGTCTGAAAAGAACTAAGAGGATTAGCTCCTTTTTGGAGTTTCGAATGGCGCCGGCCTGGGATGCATTGATTGAAGTTCTATTCCTGAAGCAGCTTTCCGGGAACCCCTTTCAGTGCGCGCTCAAAGGCGACCGTCAAAATAAATGCAAAAGCGACGCCCGTGATTATATTCTCGAACGCCCTTGCAAGGTCAGCGAGGAGCATCGGAAATAGACACATTTAATAATTTATCTTTGACGGACAACCTGCGGAAAAGGCGACCAGAGAAAAAAGCAGAAGAAGAAAAGAAAAACACCCGGGAGCAATTTGTCTTTGTCGGCGGCGTAATTGCGTTTGGCTGCGGGAATTATTTACGGAAAAGAAAGAGCCACCTGTGCGGGTGTGCAGGCGGCGCGAACCTCGGCGCCCGGCTCACAGAGCGCACCATTCGCCACTCGGCGGCCGAGAACCCGGTCAATAAATTGTCACTAAAAATAAATCGGCGGGCGTGCGATTATTTATTTGGAGGAAAACACTCACTCTCGAGCAGGCCCCTCTTATACACGAAAAGGAATCGAAGCCCCAGCGAGAAACAATTTTCCGCCAAAGAAACCTTAAACGCGTACACGTGGCCTTGGAAAGAAAGAAAGAAATAAATAAAAGGAGAATAATTCTCGTTTTGTTCAACTGAACTTGAATTATATAACGATGAAATTGCTTGTGGTGCTTATTTGAATCTGATACGGGAGCATAATCGAGACTTTGGATTGGTTTTACGCAAGAAATCCAATATTGTTGTGAAGAGTAAAGGCCTTGTGTGTGTTTTACACGCAGAGCAGCACGAGAGCGCCGTTTATTTTGGGACGCGATTGGTGGTCATGCGTACGAATGGCGCGCGCCGATTGGCCCCTCGCGCCGACCAATCGAGTCGCTAATTGGCCGCTCCGAATCCAAATTGTGGCGAAAGCCAGTTTGGCCAGTCGTGGTGTCGTCGGCCGAGTTAATTGTTTGGTGCACACTGGTCTGCATTCAAGTGGTGCTCCTTTTGCGTCTCGCATAATCTCTCTCCGTCGGACGGACTGCGTCTCTTTCTGTGCTGTTGTTTTTCTCTCTCGGTGCGCGTGGAGGCCTCTTCGCCGACGCCACCAAATCTCAGACACTTCGGAATTTTGTCAAATCATGGCTTTAGATTACGGCACGCACTCGTTCAGATCTCATCGAAAACTGGGTGAGTTCTCAAAGGAATTACATGTAAAATTTATAATTTTAATAATATATTTATCCTTCATCGGCTTATGGTACAATTAATTAAAGTAAGCCATGATTTACAATTTGGGTAGAAAAATAGCAGAAACTTTTCACAAATTAGCATCAATTTTTTTAACTGTATCTATTTGACCGTTTTTCACAGGCTAGCAATTTGATCTTTAAGCTAACGGCGCATTAAAAGTTGCTCCAGGCGTCACATGCTTTGAGCCAAACTGGTTTTTAGGTTTGGCATTTTTTTTGTACAAACTTTGTTTGCCTTTCGGAGTGATTATAGCTGCGGGTATATTTTTTCTTCTTTGACGTAATACATTTTTTACATGTGTCCAGACAAGTTTTTTTCTCTTTAGATTTATGTCCTCGGAAGTAGTTACATGAGAGAAAGTTCAAATTAGCTCATTTCAACATTTCCAAATTAACCAATACTTTTTATTTTAAATTTGAAATATACCAATATTTTCTGAAGCTTCTATGTCGGTGTATTCAAAAATTGACAATGGTTTTGAAATTTCCACATTTTTATTTTTAACGATTATCAAGGATAGTGACAGGATGCTGCGACCGAGATGAAACACACCGCACTAGGTCCAGGGAAATTCGCATTGGTTTTTAACAAAAATTTATTACAACGTTGCGAAATATATATTATTTAAAAAAATGTAATATTTACACATACGCAGCTTTTGTACAAGCGAATGACCTTTATATAGATAACGTTTTTTCCTGCTTGCGTGCCCTGGGGAAAATATTTTACAAAATACATTTCCCAATTCTGCCAGGAAGTTGGGCAATATTTAACAAAATATAATAATATAAAGTCTGTTTTTGTGATCAAAACTAACTGCTGTTGCCGATTTCGCGAACAAAATAGAGCATCATGCTTTTCACGCCCTCCCAGACTTCTTGGCCGACAGGCTCGATTTCTGAGGCCGGAAGCACAAAACCGTATCGGCCAGTGTCAGGAAGTTCCACTGTGTAGGCGTATTTGATACCGGCCTTCTCTTTCGCCCAGTCGTCAGAACCACCTGCAAAAAAGTTGTTTGAAACAATTTGAACAAATATACAACAATAATTAAAAATTTACTAAAATAATTTAATGTTGCTGACATTTTTTCTTTTCATTTCATAGATATTTAGGTGGGTAGAAGGTGAAAATTTTAAATATCATAATTAATTTAATTTAATTGGCATTGCAAATGGTTTTAAGAAGTCATTTCAAATGCGATTTCATGAAATTAAAATTAAATAAATTTTGATTTTTGTTTTAAATAACATTGCCTCCTATGAGATCCTTCTAAAATATTTTACCTGCCTGATTAAAATAATTGAAAATTTCACAAAATCAACCTCATATCATCCCAATTATTTGGCATAATTAAAGTTAAATATTAAATGAACGTAAAATATGGACTTGATAAAAACTTATTCCACCGCAGTCTCTTGTTGATTGAAGCTTGAATTTTGTTTGTTATTTTACAACGCTAGCCACAAAATAAAACATTTTAAACTTCACAATTGAAATTCAATGGTAAATGAAATTAAATTTAAAAACAAAACTTCTTTTTGTTCTCATAAAAGGTCAGCAACCGGCAGGCGTAAGACGTGGTAATTTTTAAAAACCACAGCCGAAATAACAAACGCAGCGTGGAAGTGTTGCATTGACGTCAGCGATAAAGCCCATAATTATATGCTCTCATACCCGAGGAAACGTAAATGAGTTCGTCGGCGGTTCCCAGAAGGTAGTCGGTGCCACGGACCCTTTCCAGCGCCTCGACGCCCTGCTCTGCCAGCACATACATGTCGTAGTAGTCCTGCGGCTTTTCGGCCTTGTAGCCCCACGGCACGAGCCACACTTGGCCGTACGAGTGCATTGTGAGGTAGACTTTGATTTCGTCTTTGTGCGATAAAATAAAATCAGACACGGCTTTCGTCTCGGGTTCGGAGAAGGGTCGAGACCCGGCGTAGATTTCGCGGCACGGATTGATCGATGATCCAACCTGCGTCGAAAATTAAATTAATTAAAAACGGTTTTTTTTCTTCTCAAAATTGAAATTCCTCACTTGAGCCCAATGCACGTCGAAATTCCGGTTGGCGTCGACACCGACGCAGCCGCCGTCGGCCGACGACGACCGCGTTTTCCGCCACAGACGATCGGTGGTGTGCGAATATTCGTAGCCATCGGGGTTGACCACCGGCAGGACGTACCAGTCAAGGTCGTCGATCAGAGACGGGTGGTCGTGTCGGAATTCGACCAACTGCAGCAGCAGATAGGTCACTGTGGCCGGCGAAATCCATTCGCGGGCGTGGATTCCTGCGATATGAGTGGTTTTACAGCAATTAAACGCTTTTAATTAAATGGCGAACTCCAAATTTTAAGATAGAAACTGTTATAGGTTTTAAAAAAGTATCATTTTTCTTCTGAAAGTTTTAAAATAAATATAATTTTCTTTAGAATGGTTGCTTTCCCAAAAGAAAAAATTTGTTATAAATTTCGTCACCACAAAATAAACTCATTTATGCAAGAAAAAAAAATGCATTCCGATTAGCTCAAAGGTCTAAAATAAATTATGTAAATGCCATTTAAAGAAGTAAATGGCTATTGATATGGGGAATGAAAATAAACTTTTTGATAACCTTATTAACTCTGCTCTCGTTTTAAATATTTAAAATTGACATACATAGTTTTCATTCTATATGTTGTACAAATATTTGTCAGTTTTTTTACTTTAGTTTGAATTATTTGTGCAAACAGTTTTTATCTTAATATTTGTCAACACTCACCTCCGTCTATCCACACGGCGGGTTTTTTCTTCCCACCTGTGGAGATTTTGAGTACTTTTAAGGGCCTCCCTTCGCTGCTCTGTCCAATCACTTCCATTTGGCAGATTTCGGGATAGGTGTTGGCCAAGTAGTCGACGTAGCCCTCGATATCTGCAAGGTCAGCAGATTGCAATTCTGGTTTCAATGCGAAAGGGATCAAGTTGATCCGAGTGATTATGCGATTAAGTTGATTTTGCGGACGCACCCTTGAAGGGATGATACCGTTTCCACGTTAACCGATGGCCGCTGCGATTCTCCCACTCCTCCTCCTCGGGCTCCATGGGCGGATTTTCCCTCCTGATCGAATCCTGCGCGACAAACAGGTCGTTAATTTAATTTGAGGCCGCCGTGATTGGAGCTGATCTGTGCCAACAACGCGAGTGGCGAATTGCTGATTTAAAGCTCATCTATTCTAACAATAAGTGGCGGCCTTTGATCTTTTTATAAAGGAAGAAAACAATATAAACCCACACCAACGGGTGGGACGAAATTAGATTACAAGGCTAATTAATTTTTTCAAAGGACGGAGTACGTGCTTGAAAAGTAACGATCGCCATTAGTGCTCACAAAGAACTCAATTAACACAACAATTTCGGTCAAAATTGCCCCCCGGCTGAAATTTAAATTCAAGCTTTGTCATTGTGAAAACCAGAAATGTCACCTATGGTGGACGCGCTCTAAAAATAGTTATATTTCCGGCCGGTGCTTCTCTTATCTAAGTAAACAAAAGACTCGACCAACTCGTTTGACGTCCGAACTGCAAGAAAATTCCCCAGGTTTTTGTTTTGTTGCAATTAAAATAAATAATTTCAATCTTTTTTATCCCCTCTCATTCAAAGAAGTCCCGGTAAAATGATGAGCTTTCTTTATTAATGAGTTTGAATTAAAATTTTGACAGTATCTAAAATTTAATTTTCATTTGAAATTCTATCTTATTTTTGCAGATAAATCGTAACACGAAAGAGTTAATTTCAACAATTGACATAAAATCTCAATGATGTTTAAAGGGTCTGGAAACTTTGAAAAAGTTGAAATTTCATTATTTGAGGTGCTGGAAAATTTTACATTGACGTTATTAAGATTTTTTTAAACTTTTGAAGTCTTTTCAAATTGAAGGCAAATTTTCATTGGTTATTTGCAAGTAAAATTTTCAACATTTCTTCATCCCCGTAAATTATTTCTAAACAATCATTGAAATTTTTCCAAAATTTCCAATCCTTTATTAACTATTTCTCTCAAATTGAGATAATTAAACCAAATGAATTTAATTAAAAATGAACATACCTGGAGATTTTCAATCATGACAAAGTAGTTGATGCCTGCATTAGCGAGGCCACTTCTGACAGCGTCCCATGCGAAGGGTGCACTGAGGAGGTCCACTTGCGCCGAGCCGTTGTGCGTGGCCCACACTTGCACCCCTTCCTGGACATCCGCGAGTCGGAAAACGCTCTTTAGCTGGGCTTGGTCGGCCACCTGCACCCTCAAAAGTCGGAAGTCCTCGTACGAAACCTCCGGCAGAACGGCCTCTTGGCCCACCACGGCCGAAAGAACGGCCACCGCGGCCACCAGTCGTCCACACGAGCCCATTGTTTTTCCAGACTGAGTTGGCACGATTTTTACCGGAATATATATACACATGTCGATTGATACTTACGTCACTTAACGATAATTGTGGTGCGGGTGTTGCGTTGTACGATTTTTGTGTCACGCTCATTAAAAAAAGTTCATTGGCTTTATCGGCAATCGTCGCCAAATTAGTGCTGGCAGTTAAAACGTATTGCAATTAATTCCGAGCTCAAATCAATTCCAGCAAATTGGAAAAAGAAATTTTTTATCTTTCGCCAGCATTTTCATACATTTTCTCTAATTTAATTAAAACAATATGACTTTCTCCAATACCTGTGATTTCCGCCCACATAGTTAAAAAAATCCTAAGGGAAAAAATTATTTAGCTCATCAGAAAGCAGACTTGCACTTCTAACTTGTTTGGGTTAAGATTTATTTCTAAAAATGGACTCCTCTGCCAAATCAGCAATCAAACTTCAGTCAGAAACGCTGAAGTTGCGATTTTGCAACTAATATAAACCGTGAGGCACCGATAGCAGAAAATTCTCAGCAAAATTTAACCGCACAAATTTTCTGATGAACGCAATATCTTGAGCCGGTTCATATACATCTTTCTTGCGCCATGTACTCATGTTCCGGTCGGATTTAATTTTAAATCGAACCAAAATAGTCTGTTGTATATTTTTAAATTGTGACAGTCCAGTGGCGACGGCGCCGCATGCAACAGGGCGTTTTGAGTGCACAAGCGACGAATCGTTATGACTCACTGCACTCTCGACGCTATTTCGAGCGAGCCAGAAATTCGTGCCGTGTGTCAAGTGCAAACCAATTTCAGCCCTTGCGTCATGCGCATTCAATAATTATAACTCTCAATTTGCATACAATAATATTTTGATGTTAAGTCGGCCCATCTGATAAGGCATGATTTGCATTTGGTTTTAATTTTAAATACGCTTGAGCCCTGTTTGTGCCACTTTTTGGACGTCACAATAAGTGGTTTTTTAAGAGTAGGGGAGAATAAAAATACATTGATAATGAAATATCCTCTCCATTAAGTACAAGCAGATTTTTTTTAAAATTATTTTGTAAATATCATAGTTATAAATAACAGATAAGGAAGTTTTCTCTGTTATTTAACACCACGTAGAAATTTTTTCCAGGAACTGCTCAACGTACTTAATTTGTTATTCAGATACACTTAAATTAATAATGCGCAGTATAATGGTTAAGAATACAGTCATAATATTTTATCTTTTTATCAAAATATGACGTTTTCTATAAATTAATAAATAAAAATTCAATAAATTATTATATCTTATTTTATTTTACGTTTTAAATCATTTCATAAATTTCATTTATGTATCTTCTAATTTAAAAATTTCCTATTTGCTCAAAACTCGCAACATACATTTTTTCTTGTTGAATGCAGGGCCATATTTGAAAATTATTGTAGTACAACTGTCTCTTCACAAATAAAAAAAATTAATTTTACATTATATTATTGTCCTAATTTAGCTGGTTAAAAATATTTTGGTAATTTTACTCTTCAGAAAAATTTACTTACTGTTGAATTTATAGTTGGAATTTTAATTTTTAATTTGTATTTATTGATTGAAAAAAACCCATGTGTCCAATCTTCTCACTTATGGTTAATTTTTTTTAAATTTTTGTTTTACAAAAAGTTTCAAAAAAAAAAAAATAACTATTTTAGTATTTTTATTTTCTATTATATCAAACCACATGAACATAAATCATAAATGTTATATTTCAAGTAGAAATAAATATTTTTATATTGTAAAAATTCTCCATAAAATAAAGCAATTCTTCTGTTTTTGATGCGGGAAAATGTGACGGAAAAAATAAAAGCTCTATTTCTGCCTTGGCTGCGCAGAGACCGAAGGTCAGGCGCGTTTTGTGCAGCCGGAATTGTGAATTAACAAACAGCGTCTCATCAACAACAGTGTTGACCTGTGACCCGCGCTGAACGACCCAAACACGTGACTCACTCACTCACTACACACAATTATTACCATTTCACTGCCGCATGGAATAATTCCACTCTGGGTGTGTATTTGAAATAATTGCTCTAATTGTTTGGAGGCCGAGAGGGTCTGAAAGGGCCGATTCGCAACATTGGCGGGAAGGATCCGAGCTTGCTTTCATTTACGCGAGAGAGTCCCAACAAAACGGGGCGGACGTTCGGGAATTTCGGCTTGACGCCAGGGCTATTTTCGCGCGGCCACAATGAGGCGCAGACAATTCTACATGCTCTCTTGTACATACGCGCTCTTTCAAAACGTCGCCACCGTGATTTACAGTGCGAACTTTGCGGCTCTCAAAACAACCGACGCGCTTATTTCCATTGTCTGTGTTGTTCCTCGGAATAGCTGGCAAAAGTTTTGAACGCTGCCAAACGCCTGGGTGTGTTTTAATTATAACAATAAGAGAAAAAACCTAATTTTTTTTAACATTCGTTGAAAATTGTTAGTTAGAAAACCAAATATAAGACAAACTTGATATTGTGTTTTATTTAATTTTGTCACATTTTCAAGAATTCTTTATTGGAATTAGTGAAATCAAGTCTTTTCAACTATAGCAGCAAATTTTATTGATTATACAAACATAAATTTGGAAATTTGAACTACAATATTAATTATATAATAATTTGCTGTAAAAATTAGTTTTGCCTCTACCATTTTTGTATAGACTTGATTTGACTTTTTTTAAAGAATTCCGTCACTTCTAATTAAACAAATTATTCACCAAAATTTTTTAACAATTTATCATACAGCAATTGATTTAAACTTGTTTTAATAATCAAGCATATAAGAAGTTTCACAAAATCTGTTCACATTGTTTCTTCCTTCAGCAATGTTACACAACTATAATTTAAATAATGCTCTTGATTGTTACACGTGTATTGAAATTTTGATTAAAGTATATCAGCTAACTTAAGTAACGACCAAAGTTCATTTTTTTTATGTTACTATTTTTCTCCACTACATGTTTCCACCAATATGTAGCACAAAAACAAATTATCAGCTTTTTGATAAGTACTCCAGGTACTTAATTTCAAAAACTTAAGAATTAACTTACTTAATTGAGACTTATGAATGTGAGATTAGTTGTGAGCACTTGATTAATAATACATATTTTGAAGCCGCGTATTTTGAGATTCTGGCATAGTCATGGTTTGACCTTGCCAGGACAAGTGTTTAATGTTAATCTTACATAGAACAAGAAAAGAGCCACCTTCGCACAAACCCGAAATAGCCCACTCGCGTCAGTGTGATTTTGTCGACTTATTTTCATTAATTGCCGCGGGACTTTCCGAACGAAAACTATTTTGAGCCCCGAAAGACCTTGAGATAATTTTTATCGCTTCCCTCTCTCCGGAGGTATACATAAAATACACACATGTCCTGCAACTTTTTCTGATCAGGAACTTTACAAGTCTTCAAACCTCGTGATTGAATTTTTTGTGCGATCACGAGACGCTCAGAGGTGAAGTGGTGTGACGAGGTGGACACATGACGAAAATGGGAGAATTCGGTTGTTAAAAATATCTCTATTGGTATTTAATATAATTTTGTATTAATTTTCCTCAAGAATTGCGCACCTACTGAAGTTGCAGACCCCTCGCAGCGTTATCTTATCAGAGAATGAAAAGTCGTGTTTTGAGTAAAAATGGCAAAAGGCATAATTATAGCATAGGAAAAAATCATGCGTGCGCCGTAAGGTTTACTAAATATTTGCCTTTTTTGTTTGTTTCAGAAGAATCAGCCAGCACGTTCAGGTCGGTGGAAATCACCAGCGCTAGCTCACTTCCATACTCGCGGCATTCTAGAAAAGGTGAGTTTTTTTTCTCTGAAATTCACTTGATTTATAATGAGTAAAAATGTAAATTAAATAAATATTAAAATGGTCAAAAATTTTAAACCATTATATTTTTTCCTAAAGAGTCTTCTTTTGTTACAATTCAAAAAGATCCGTTGTCAGAATTATTTATTTGGAGCGTAAAAAGCTTTTCATCAATCCAAATTTGAATTCTATTCCGAGCCAAATTAAACTGACATTATAACATACAAATGATACAAAACTTCCTCTCCTTTGTTCTCGTTATTTTGTGTATTTTGCCCCTATTGCGCGTCTCTTTGACCCAAAAGGATGTCCCATTAGTCAGAACCGGAGAAATCCAATTTTTCGTTCGTTGTTACTTGAGAATCTTCTTAACCTCCCTGGAAAATCGACTTCTTCTCATATTTCAAGAGGTGGATGCGGAAAGAAAGTAAGTTCTCGACTTTTCCTGGAACAATATAAGAGGTCAACCATCCCTGGGACTTTTATTATATCTACGCTGCAGCTTGCTTTCGAAAAAACGGCCACTTCGTTATACAAGGGCTAAGGGCCAGTCAGATGCTTGGTTGCAACGGGCAAATGAGCCTCACTTCGCCTTCGAAGTTATTATTGTACTCAGCTGCGCGTGTTTTTGTCATTGCGTGCGTCATTGTCCGCGCCGCCCGGCATCGGTTTCATTTAGCCACCGGCATTCGATTCAGAGACAATGATCGATTCAAATCAGTTCGCGGATTTTTTTTTTACCAAACACAATTATGTGTTTATTTGGACAGCTGTTGGGCCCGCACATCAATGCAGTCCCTTCCTAGGTGACGTCGTCCGCCATTTACGTCACTCTTGTTTGTCAATTAGCCACTTTGTTTCGGTCTTACAGAAGTTTGTATTTTTCAAACCTTATCTGGGTCGACGGATCTTGCTTGCAGCGCGACCAAAGCGTTCTGGGAATCGCGTGCGTTGTGGTTGGTTTTGTAACTCGTGAATGAAGATCTGAAATAGACAAGAACATGACGATGGGGAAAGAAAACGGCATAAGTGAATTGAAGTGAATTGGGAAAAATACCTAGAAGGGCGGAATATGGTAAAAAATTTTATTAACCCGATTAGCTAACTTCGGTTTTTAAGAATTATTTCATAAATTTATCAGCTTATTGTGATTTGTATCGAATTAAGTAGCAAACTTTTCCCATAAGTATAATGAGAATTTAAATTAAAGGCCAGGTTAAAGGTTTGCCTGTAATTTTATTTTGTGAACGTAATTTAGTTGATATTTTGAAATTTTCTGCAAACAAAGCAAAATTTTGAGAGAAAAATAAAATTTATTAAACTTCCTAAGGCAAGCAATCTTTATTTTCAAAAATTCACTGTTTAAGATCAATCCAATTATCCACTTAGCCTGGGATGTTTTGATTGAAATTTCCTCTAAAAATATTAGTTAATAAATCAATAAATTGTCAACAAAATCACTTTGGCCGATTTTTTGCTCATGAGACTTACTCAGTTAAAATTAATGCCTTTAATACTTGGAGTATTTTTTCTTGTCGTAATAATTATCTTTTCTGATGGAAATTTCAAATGTATCGTGCCTTGTTCATTTATCAAGATACAGTTTAAATTTTTTTCAATCTCTTCCTTGTATTGCTAATTGCATAGCTTTAAAAAAAAACCTGATTGAACCTCATTATAAAAATTTTCATCATAAAATAGTAATTGATAAAAATCTCTTTGTGCTTCTTCATGTCTATTCAAGTAGCAAATCATTAAAAGAAATAACATTGCTACCAGATTTTAATGAACATTAAATTTTCTTTGGGGGAAAAAGTCCTCTTGTATTTTCCGATTGTTAATTTTTACAGAAAAAACGCTCTTTATTGCTTCATTTTCAGCAATAATTTTACCAGTTCCGTTACGTTGGACCTGTTAATTTTTTTACCAGCCGCAGTTGTAACTTCTAACTATCGTTGCATAATAATTACATACTCACAGAAAATAAAGCGAGATAAAAAATCAGTTCGCGTGCAAAAACGGCTCGTGCGCGCGGCCTTCCGTCGTCTGGCGAACTCGTTGATTGCGCGCAGACGGGAATGCCAGCGAGTGTTAAAAAAGTGCGAATACGTGCAGCTTTTTATTGTCAGGTTATCTGCTGGTCTCGGGTTCGTGCTAGGAACGCAAGAAGGAGGAATTTTGCATGCAAATCAAGATGAGGCCTGTCTCGCTCCGGGCGAAAAAAAAAACTCGGTCTTGTGATGAATGATCATGTGATGACTTCGTGGACGACACGCGCTTTCTGGACAAACTGGATGCGGGCTGCTAATCTGTACAATGGCGCCGGAATTGAGAGCACCTGGCTTCAATTCGCGCACGCGGCGTCACTGATATTTTTAACTCGTAAATACAGATATGACGTCTTAAAGTTTGAGTTTCATCGGCCGGCCGATTCGCTTTGCATTATCTCATATTAAAGACGTGTGAGAGCTTTTGTTGGCCCTTGGATTTGTTGTTTTTATATAGGTGCTGGATGCTGGGAACGCCAGATAAGAAATTAAAAATAATGGCACGTTTTGATTAAATCGTTGAATCAGAGTATAAATTATTGCCCCGTCGTCACCATAAGATTAATTTGAAAACAAATTCTTAAGTGGTCTGGAAATCCCTAAGCACTCTAATTATTATTATGAAATTTAGAGCAACTATACAGAAGAGGCCTTGTTGAAAGAAGGAGTTAAATAAATCTTTTGATTATATTTTTGTTGAATGAATTTTTATTGATTTTTTTGAACCAGCAGTTATATAATATTTTTTATTTTGCAACCATGATGATATCCATGAGGACGTTGCCATTATGAATAATTTTTTTTTTTTAATTCTGCAAGAAAAATTTAATGGATAGAAAAATTAAAGTTATAATTCTGGTCTAGAGGATTGAGATTTTTATTTAAAATTGAAATTTTAAAACTGAAATATTTTCGCTACTAAATTTGAAGTAAAATTTTTGTAAAAATAAATATTTAGGAATTTTGATATTTTCTTTCGATTTTAAAGGCAAAATTAATTTCTTATGTTTCCTTTATCAAATCTTCCATTCACAAGCAAAAATGTTTTTTTGAATTAAACAATTGAATCGCAAAATTATTTTAGATTAATATAAATAATGACTTTTCAATAAGTTTGATATGCAGAGATTACGTAATTAGTCTTATTGGAAGATAATGCAGTGCTCTTGTTAAATTGTAATCATTCTGTTGTCATGAAGACGAACCGTCGATATACAATTTGCAACTTCCCCGCTTCGCTTTTCAAAGCTTGTTGTCTCTCAGAGCACGCCGCGTATATAACAAAGAAAGGTTAATCGATCAGCTGCTCTCTAACGATGACGAAATGCATTGTTACAGAAATGGCCGGTGGCTCTCCGCTCAGCAGTCCGGTCACCGCCAGAAGGACCGAGCCCAATGGTCTCATGGACCCCATGCTTCGGGACCAGTATCTCGCTCAACAGATGATGCGCAACTCACCGTCGTACGCGATCCAACAGCAAATGTTGCAGGTAAAAACTTGAGCAAACTCAATGACCACAAATTAAAATCATTCAAAATGTTAAAAGCTGAATCATTATGAGATTCTCTGATTTTTTTGTCATTGCTGATTTTGGAAAGAAAAATAATTTTTTTTTTTTTATTTATATTAAAAAAAAAATCTCTTAAATAATTTAAACTCGGCTATTTTCAACATACTAAACAGTTTTTTTTTAAAGAAGCTGTTTGTAATATTTTGAATAATTTGCAACATACAATTTACTGAATTTTTTCCATTTTAATTCTTGCAGTACGTGATTGCAGATATTCTAAAAATATATTGATTTTCAAAGAAATTGAGTTCCTTACCATTTTTCAGTCGCAGTCGTTTTTATTTGACAAAATGAAAACATTTCAAACTTTTTCAATAATTTCTTGTGTGATTGTTTTTTTTTTCATTTCAATTCTTTCAGTGTCTGCGATTTCCAAAATTCAGACAAGTTGTAAATTTTGCAAAAAGAAAATACTTTCTTCTTTTGGAAACCCAGCCTCACTTTCAATTTAATTTATATAAAGAAAACCATTTCGTAATTTTTCGCAACTTTCCTGGTTGTTTGTTTTGGTTACCTCGCGCAATCCATCCAAGACGCCTCCCAAACAAGAAATTCCGAGAACCTCCCCGCCAAGCCGCCCCTAACGAGCCACCCCCGGAGAGAGTGGCTGGTGCGCTGCAGACTAGCCCCCTCTTTCATATTATACATGGCACACATCAATCTTTGATTTCGGGAGAGGGGGTGCGAAGGTTAAATAAAATTGTAATGTCCTTGACACACGAATCCATCGCCGTTTCGCACCCCCCGACCGCCCCGTCGGCAAACACACGGGGCGCGCAGTCCAATGGCGAACAAGGGGTGAGGCCCGCGTGAGTGGCATTTCTCCGCCGACCTTGAATAATAAATAATGCTGCGAGGCACATCGAATTATTCCCGACGAGGAAAACGCGACCAATTTCTTGATATTTTCTACTGCTGGAAATAACCACTGATTCGTTTTGCCACCCCTGTGATTGAGATTGCGCCTGATTTGTGCGCCGGCTTACGTGAAAGGTCACAGGTTCGTCTTTTTTTTCACCGCAGTTGCTGCTGGGTCTTTCGTTTCGCTTTGTTTTGATCGGTCCACGAAACCGTCGATCAGATTATTACATTTTTATTACGTGTGCAGCCAAACGATTCCGATCAATAATCATAATGTCGTTTCCACCATAAAATGCCGTCTTAATTCTTTCCTTTTGAAAGAGAATTTTATCAAAATGATTAAATAAAATAAAGCTATTTATTTACAAAACTTCGGTAACAAACTATTTTCCTTATTTTGAGTTAAAATTTTTCTTTTATAATTAAATCAATTTTGTATCATATTTTTACTAAATTTAAACAGAATAATAGTTAATAATTTAATATCCCCAAAAAATCGTTGATAATGTTGTTTTTTAGACTCGCATATTATGTTGAGTCAGAATGTTGTAATTTGCAAAGATCCATTATCAGAATGAACTTTGGAGTGAACTGAAAATAATAATTAATGTAGACACTTTTTTTGCCCGTCTAGACACATTTTGCATATATTTCTCAAAATCAGTAAATGTTATTTAATATTTTTTAAAGCACCACTGGTAATCTGGAAATAATTTCTTCCACGTACATTCCTTTTTTTCAACTATCAAATCTCAAGTTTTTTTCTTTTTAAATTATTATTGCTTCAACTTTCATATTTTTCTCTGCAGCACTGATCCGCTTAGGTTCACAATCTAATTTGACTCCTCTCGAAATGAAATTTATACCTGTGGCATTCGCAACCACGTTTCCCTTGAAAAAGCCAATAGAAAACGTGCGTCTCTCTCTCTTACTATGGGATTAGGAGACTCTAAATTAGATGAGAAGCCTTCCATGTGCGTCGGAAAACCTCAAGAATTGTCGAAACAGAGCGGACTCGCGCGCGCTTCGGCTAATTTTAACATTAATACCCCCTTGCTATTCAACCAGTGTCGTGGCATTGAGGTGGCGTAATTCGATAAGTTTACCGCACCAAGAGCAATCGACGATCAACTTATTGCTCTCATTACTCTCCTCATCATTAAGATATGTTCTGTGGGAAACCATCTCAAAACAAGCTGCGTGTGCACTAATAATGGAAAGTTCAAAAATAGAAGTCCTTGTGGCGTCTCTGCCAATCTACTGCCAAATTGCTTTTTCCCACTAGCAGCTCAATATTGTTTTGACAAAATGGCTGTTTGATTTTTTCATTATTTTGTTTAGTGAAATTAAAAAAAACTATTTAATTCAATTTATTTTTCTCCAAACAAGTCAGACAAGCTTTTATTTACCTTTTTTTTTGGCAATTAGTAAAAATTAAAATTCTGCAGCACATAATGTATAAGTAAGTCCTATTCAAAGCTGGAAAATGCTCCCAAAATTTAGAATAAAGTCTGAAAATGGTCCAAAGATATAAGATTATATTGTATTTTTCTTCTTTTTTTAACATAAATTGTTATAGTCGCGTATTTCAATCATATATTGCAGTGATCCATTGTCAGAATGAATTTTGGAGCAAAGTTGAACAAAATATACAGACTTTCCATCAATCTATTTATTGAAATTTTCAGACACCTTGTCAAATTCAATTATAAATAAACTGAATCATATCTTACAACATTATTTGGAATGTGCCAATCATAACATTGTTCTCAAAAATATAAAGTTATGCACATTTAGAAAGACGTTTGAAACAACGTCTGCAGAAGAAGAGGAAGCGAAAATTTGCTAGAGTTTGCGTTCATGATGCTATCTGAAAGTAGGCTCAAATGTTTCAGCTGAAGAAGCAACAACAACTGCAGCAGCAGATCCTGCACGAGCAGTTCCAGGCGCAAAAGCAGCAACTCGCCGAACAGCACGAGCAGCAGCTGCGCCAACACCTAAAGGTTTGCATCAATGATCGACCGTCAAATTTGCATGCATCATTTTAATCGCGGCCATTATTCTCTTGCAGAACTTAAATCTCCAACGCAATATAGCGGTTAGAAAACATATTATTTTATTTATCATGCTTGCCCCGTGTTTCGCTCTCCTTTCTCATTCTCAGACCGCACCTTGTGAGTTGACGTTTGCCTGCACTTTAAGCTAACGAACCGTTTTCCAGAAGCTGTGGGAACAAAAGAAGTTGGAGGAAGAGCGCGAGCGACGTGAGCAGGAAAAGCTCGAGATGCTGCGCAAGAAGGACAAACATGAGCAGAGCGCAATTGCATCCTCAGAAGTCAAACAAAAGCTACAGGTGGGTTTCTGCATAGCCTTGTGCAAAAGTTTGCAAATTTGACTTCAATTTGTATTTATAATTATAAAGAACAAACAGTGACACAACATTAAATTTAGGAATAATTTTGAAGTCTAGAATATGTTTTTAAAAGTTGTACAACTAACATTCAAAAATATTTTTACTTCATTATCGATTCAAGGTAATTAAATATGGAATTTTTTATTTATTAAAAAATATTTCTTTTAGTTAACATTTTTTTTACAAAATTAAAAAATGGTGAGAAAGAAATTCATGATAACCATTTTGATAATTTAAATTAATCGAGAATTTTCTAGAATCATATAGAATTTTTGTTGCTTTGAACTTTATCATTTCTATCAGAAACGTTTTTTCGTCAATGATAATGATAAAAACTGATAAAAACAAACTATACAGTTTATTGATGAATTTAATAAATAAATTATTTGCTATTTTTCCAAATTCTATAGTTAAAAATACAATCTTTTTCCAACAGGGATTCCTTCTAAATAAGCAGGCGGCCAAAGCTGCAAGTGCGGCCAATGTGTCCGGCGCCAACGGTGTGCGGGGTGGCAGCCCCAATTCAAACTCACAGCAGGCCAGTCAGGCAAGCTCGGCCGCCTCCAGCACCAGCTACTGGTGAGTAATTTTCTATATCTCGACTGCATCGCCAACTTTTGGCAAAACAACTTTTTGTCGGATTTCCTCGTTCTATTTCGAACCGGAAAAACGATTTGTAACTGTCGTGGTTCGCGCTAATCCTTAACTGATGTAATAATTAGTGGGACGGTCTATCGAGTGAGGTGGGTCCATTATTTTTCTTCAGGCGCTTGTTTTCGCGAGAGCAAGTCTCGGACGGTGCCAACCGGACGTTTGTGAGGAAAGATCGCAAGTGTAATCTGGGTTTAATTTTAGAACACCTTGCCTCGGTCGCTTCTATTAGAATGCGGCTGTGTGCGCAAAGAAAATTACCCGCTCGGCAGCACGCACACTGAATTTTTCCATTAATCACGAGGCCCTCCGTGCGCCAATTTTTCGCGGGATGCCACACGGAGACACTGAGAGCGCTCTAGTTTGGCAGCCAACGTGTTTCTCCATTTATTTTCATCATCTCTTGCAATATTTTTCTTGGCCCAAAGACGGAATAATTTTTTTTAATCTGGAGACAAAATATAGCGATAAAAACAATTTAAATATAGCATTTATTATTAGAAGAAGAAAGTTGATTGAATATGTCTTAAAATTATATTTGCGCAATTAAATATTAAAAAATAAAAGCATTATGAATTTGAAGAACCTTTGCTCGATCCTGATTAAATTTGATAAGGATTATTAAATTTATTCAATATTTTTTGGAATTAAATAATTGAACCATTTGTCATTAGATTTTGTATTTTGAAGAAGTTTTGCAAGTAATTGATAATTAATTTTGCTGTAGTAATTCAAACTTAAGTCCTTACTAGGTGGGGATTTTGTTTTCAAAATACTTCTGAAGGTAAAGAATAGTTCGATGATTGACAAAATGAGAAAATTTAAGAAGAAAAACACAATAATTAATTTCTCTTTTATAAACAATCATTATTATTTTTCCTCGAAAAACGTACCGATTTTTTCATTCTGCAAAATTAAACCTGATGATTGATGTAACTCATGTCAGATTTGCTCCGGTATATCACATTGTGAGTCTTTCTAGGAAATATTTATCTCTGCTTTTCGCACCACTTGGCTCGATTCTGCTAACAAGCGCGGAAATCGACCGAGTGCTGACGCACTTAATCCGTCCGCAAGTGGCTAATTTTCTGCAAAAAAAAAGCGCACAACGCACATAATGGGGGCGCTATTTTGGCCGCGAGGCAGCGCGCCTAAGCCTAAATCAACATGTGGACGTCAAACGTCGTTCGCAACCCCACACAGTGATGATATTTGCCAAACTTTGGCGGCTATTTCTGGCCGAGCGAACGCAAGTACGGGTAATATTGGCGCGCCCTCCCCCGCCGCGCGTTCGGCGACGCTCTTCGACCACCGAGCCGCGGCAGCGCAGCCTCTTCATCTTCTTCATTTTTGTTTGCCGCTAAATGCGACGATGATGACACCATGACTGTGTTTGTGTGCTTTATTCCTCTGCATGTGTTTATTCGTCGCAGCAGCCGCCCGCGATCCGCGCGTTCTATTTTCGCGCCGCAAAAAGCGTGATGAAATTATTCGGTGGTTTGGCCAATTGGAAATCCGACCGTCTCTCTTAAATTATTATTTTTATTTTGTCTCGGCGGTACAAGTGTTGCGGTTTTTGCACCCCGGCAAAAACAACGCTCGCTCTGGGAATAAACTTTTGCAACGTGCGTGCCACTCCATTATGTACCAATATGCACGTGTTTTATTTTTAGAACTGAATGAGAGAGAATGCTGGATCGTTGCTCAATTAAATATTGCAGGGGGAAATGTGTGACACACTAGTAGTGCAGCTTATATTTAAATCTGTTATCTAGAAAGTTTTTCAAATTAACATTTATACATTTGTAAGCTGAATTGAATGTTCAGAGAAGGTCAATGAAAGCGGCAACAACATAAAAATGCTAATTTATTTTACTACAAATGGAATAATTATTATTAATGAAACCTCACTTAAATTATGAAGAACGCATGCTAAATATGATATATTTGCGTTATTTTTATTTAAAAAAAAACACGAATTTTACAACATGATTACAATTAAAGATTACTTGTAAAATTAAGTAAAAATTGGACAGCAAGTCCAAATTTTGCTTAGTATTTTGTTCTAAAATATCTAAGTATAATACTATAAAATTGCATTTCCTCTTATTTTCAAGGTCTGGTATGCAACCCCCTGCGCCACAACCTGAAAATCCAGCGCCGCCACCCACTGGCGCTTCGCCATACCCAAGACCTCAAGCGCTCCTTGGAAAATATGATGATGACGTGCCCCTCAGGAGGACAGGTATGATGACACCAATTCTTGTCTTAATTTGAATATAACTGCTTGTAATTTGACGTGCAACTCAATTTGATTAATCAGCATCCTATTTTTTGCGCGTTTGTTGGAGTAAAAAAACTAACCATTGTTAACTGTTGTTGTGCATTAAAACAGCATCTGAGCCCAACCTCAAAGTGCGTCTCAAACAAAGAGTCATTGATAGGAGAAACTCGCCCCTAATCAGACGCAAGGATCGTCTTCTCAAGAGGAAATCCCAGCTCGCAAGTATGCATTTCGCCTCGTTAACTTGCATGGCAAAAAGCAATACATTCTCTCATTTGCATAACATCAATTATTTAACAGTTTATTTTTGTTTCTGTATTATTTCTAATATACAATGAGAGAAAACTTACAAATATTGTTTGTTTTTAAACACTCATATTTTAAATATTTGAAAACAATGTTCCTTGCAGTGGACGCATGCAACAGTCCTGAATCTGGTCCGAACTCGCCACCCACCTCAGCTGCAGCCGTCATTGCAGCACAGTCTGCAAGAGGCAACACGCCAATCCAGGAGGTGGGTCGAATATTCAAAGTGAGATTTTTTTATGAATTTTCAAACCTTTTTCTTATTTTTAACGAGCTCAATTTTTGTATGGTGAATAATTGATTAATTCTTGATTTTACTAGATTTTTTCAATTTTTATTATGATTTTTCCAGGAGGCTAGTTCACCGTACGCGCCGTTGGCGAACAGTCAGGGCAGCATGAATGATCTCTCCCAGCTGTACAGCAGTCCATCCATGCCAAACATCTCTCTTGGCAGACCACACGTCCCCTCGGCCTCATCAGGCCAGCAAGAGGGCATGAAAATTTCACCCCAGACCGAGGCCGAAGTGCGCGCAGCCTATGCAGCACGATACGGATTGCCGCTCACAGGACAAATGTTGCAAAACTCTCTGCCCTTCTACCCCACTCTGCCAGGTAATGAATAATTAAGTGAAACGAATGCGTTTTCTTATTGTTTCCCTAATTGACACAGTGATTGATGGAGACTACAGTAACCCATCCTCGCCGAGCTTCATCCAGAAGCAAATGCAGGCCCTTGAGCAGGCGCAGCACCAAAATCTCATCACCGCCATGTACCACGCTGGACCAATCACAGACCAACAGGTGAGATTGAATTTATTTGCAAGGAAATAATTTTATTTGTTTTTATTTTACTATCAGGTGGCCCACGCTCACCTGAACAAAGGTGCAAGGCCTCTTGGCAGAACAAAGTCGGCTCCTCTGCCCTTGGGACACCCCATGCTGCAAGGAAGCCACCCAAGTAATCTGACAATGCCCTCAGCCAACTACCAGGAGTACCTGCAAGAGAAACAAATGTATGACCAGCAGCAACAACACAATCTGCTAAAGCAGCACATTCGGAAAACGGTGCTCACCAGAGCGAGTGGCAGGAATGCTTCCGCCCAACTGGACGAAGCTGTCGAAGTTGATGATTCTGCTGAGGTGTGTTTTCTGAAATTTTTTAAATTCCTTGGCTGTTTTCCTTCTTTGGGTCTATCTAGATTTAGATCTATTAACTTAAATGTTTATTTGGCATGTGGACTTTGCTTATTTGGCTTAACATTTTCTAGGACCTTTCCTTAAATAACTCATCCGATAGCTCTTCACCTCCTCCACTGGTATGCTAATAATCCTAACATTCACTTAATAATTTAAATTAAGCTTGAATCAAGTGGATTTAAATAAGAAAATTTTAAAAATGTCCACAGGTTATAGATCTGACGGACAGAAAGAGTGAGGAAGATTTGGCTGCCAAGCAGCAAAGAGAACGTGAGCAGTATATCCATCAGCAACAACAGAGAGATCTGCTCATGAGACAGAATTTCACTTTGCAAATAAGTGAAGGTGCGTTGAATTTAAGATTTTTATTGCTAAAAATTAATTTTTGAAATATTTCAGGCTCTGCTTTCACACCACGTGCAGGCCACATGGTGCGTCCATTGTCTCGGGCCCTGTCCAGTCCCTTGGTGGCTTTGGTGCCGCAGCAACAGTCGGAGGTCATGGCCAGCAGCATGCAGTCAGTCAAACCTGGCACCGCCACTGCCCTGGCCTACGACGGCCTCATGCTGAAGCACCAGTGCATCTGCGGAGACAATTCCACCCACCCAGAGCACAGCGGCCGTTTGCAGAGCATTTGGGCCAGGCTAGCTGAAACTGGTTTGATGTCCAGGTGTCTCCGATACAGAGCCAGAAAGGCCACTTTGGAGGAAATCCAATCGTGCCACAGCGAAGCCCACGCCCTCCTCTTTGGCACCAGCCCTCAAAACAGACAGGTAAATGCCTAATTTTAATAAATAAATATTGAACCCTTCATTAAATTTAACAAAAAATTCCAGAAATTAGACGTTAGTAAGCTTAGCCAGCTGCCAATCAAGAGCTTTGTCCGACTGCCCTGTGGAGGAATTGGGGTTGACTCAGACACTACTTGGAATGAGCTTCACACTTCCTCAGCAGCAAGCATGGCCGTTGGGTGTGTGGTAGATTTGGCCACCAAATCGGCCAGTGGTGAAATCAAGAATGGTTTTGCGATCGTCAGACCTCCTGGTCACCACGCAGAGCCCTCACAAGCCATGGGCTTCTGCTTCTTCAACTCTGTGGCCATCGCTGCCAGGCAGTTGCAGCAGAGATTTGACCTGGAGAGGATTTTGATCTTGGACTGGGTATGTTGGAATTATTTTGAAAATTCAAATTAACTTAATAAATAAAATATAATTCATGAACTTGATTGAAATTAATTTTTTTAGGATGTTCACCATGGAAATGGCACCCAGCAAATATTCTACAATGACCCGCGCGTTTTGTACCTGTCAATTCACCGCCACGACGATGGCAACTTCTTCCCTGGAACAGGAGGGCCAACGGAGTGTGGTGCTGACGACGGAATGGGCTTCAACGTCAACGTCGCCTGGTCTGGCGGACTAAATCCTCCAATGGGAGACGCAGAGTATCTGGCCGCATTCAGAACAATCATCATGCCCATCGTGAAAGATTTCGACCCCGAAATCGTGCTCGTGTCTGCTGGTTTTGACGCTTGCTCTGGCCACTCGGCGCCTCTTGGAGGCTATCAAGTGTCGGCAGCCTGTTTTGGCTACATGACACACCAGCTAATGCAGTTAGCAGGAGGAAAAGTAAATTTAAATTTGTTTTTAAAAGAAAACCTCTGGTACTAATTTAACATTTGAAGGTTATATTGGCATTGGAGGGTGGATATGACCTCCCGTCCATTTGTGATGCTGCTCAAGAATGTGTGAAGGCACTAACGGGCGAGGAAACTAGTCCAATGCGCGAAGAGGAATTGTGCAGATCACCCAACCAGAATGCCATTGATACTCTGCAGAAAACAATTGCCATACAGGTATATAGGATTTTGTGCTTAATATTTTTTTAGGAAAACTAAGTCAATTATGTTTAAACAGAACCCCCACTGGCCGTGCATCAAGAAATACGCTCACACAGTTTCATGGTCAGCCATTGAAGCGAGCCAGAAGGAGAGGGATGAATCAGAGACTGTCACGGCAATGGCGAGCCTTTCCATGAAGCAACATGGTGGAAGCACAATTCAGTAAGTTGGAGTGAAATTCGAAATAAAAAGATTTTAATTCGCATTTATAGGATACCTGCACCAAGTGAGAGACAGTGCACCCCTATGGAAGAGCCAATGGATCAAGATGATGCCAAGTAAGAGCATGCAAGTTGAAAGGTGCATCTTCAGCAATGCTTGATCTCAGTCAACGTTTCACGCTGGGCTGCAACCCAACTGGGCAGCCGATTGAAATAATACAATATTATTTTTCCACCCCGCATATACACAAGGCCGAGCCTAGATAATTACGAAAAGTTCTACAATCTCTCAATTATCACGTGGAAATCAATCAAATGAAGCTGACAATCTACAGCCCTGATATTAATCATTGCAAGCAGAATGAAAATTTGTCTTGGGAAATTTCGGAACCCTGTAATTCCAAATTTTTTTGTCGCTCGTGGAGAGGCAACTACAGAAAAATTTATGTACACAAAGTTCAAAACAATTTGAAATTTTTACCAAAGTCAGTTACAGCTCAATTGAGATGTTTATCTTGTTTTGATTTTACAAACTATTCAATTATGGTGAAAGTCAAACTCGGCTTTAAATTTTATTACATTTTATATTAAGGATAATATAGAATAAGCGAGTAAAACATATTGTTTGTGCTTAACATAAGGTGTAATTGTAAAACGTGTTTAAAAATGCAATTTTTATCAAAGTGCAGGCCACTTAAAATTGAAGTTGAGCAAAAAAGTATATATAAATATTTTATTTTTATTAAGGTTTGTTTAAAAATGACCAATGACTTTATAGTTTGCTAGCAGTCAAATCCTGCATAATGATCCTTTCAAAAGATCAAATTTTGAAATTAACAGACCTCTTCTTACAACATGTTTTGATTTCTGTGAGCTGCCCTCTAGCTATTTAAGAATTGTTGAATGATTTTGTTTCTTTTCTAAATAACTTGGTTTGATAGCCAAAAATTTTAAGGGAAAACCAACCAAAATTGACTTTGGTGTGAACTGCTCAATTCACTTCATTCCATTATTATTTCACTCGAGATTCAAGAGGCGCCATAATTAAATTTACAAAACTCTGTGTCAACTCCTGAAACTAACACTTGTGTGCTTTTGTTCTCTTGAGTCTTGAGGTAGGGATTTGTGTTGCACACCACTCTGCACTCGATTTCAAATCTGTATAGGTGCATCATACATGGAATTGAAGTTAAAAAAAAGTGCAAAATTGGAGCTAAGCTGTTCTGTTTCGTTTTTTGTGAGGAACATGTCGCTATATATTATTGTACTGTTATTGAGAATATTGTTCATGAAGCTGTCAGTGTGATATCAAAATTATATTTGAAGTCAAGAGCCTACGAATCGACATTAAACTGAGCTCACTTCAACAGAAGTTTGAGCGTAATTATTTAACAATTAAAGAAAGCAAGACCAAATTTGGAGTCGGTCCGTATTAAAAGGAATATAATATTATGTTGAATGTTTCAAGTACATGCATTGTGTTGTCAATAAATGGCATTATTCATGTTTAAGGCAATTGTTATTAAAGGAAGAAAAAAATGAATGTTATGAAATGGAATATATTTGTACTATGAATGTGATACAATGCACAGAACATGCATTTATTTTTATGTAAAGCATTTTGGGAAAAGTGTTGCAAGGGTTTAGAATTTGGAACGGTTACTAGTTTTCGCGATCTATCAGGAAGAATAGTCAGATGAAGCTGTTTTTTTAATGCAAAATTAAATCAAGCGCCGAGTTAATTCACACAATGTTAATTTGTGTTATGCAGTGGATCAGATGAATTTGAAATTTATTACATATTTTTATTTTCTTTACTCAATCGTGACTTGTTGGTTGCATATTGTATGCTATATTATATTCTTAATGAAAATGAGATGACTCCTGTGTACATTAGCAGAGGAAATTAATTTGGTTTACATATATTATATATATACAATTAATAAATTGAGCATGTATTGTGGGGTGTGAAATTACACAACATATTTGACATTCCTGCTTGTTATAGTAATTAAACAAAATATGCAACAAATGATACACACATCACCGATCACAAAAATCATGTGTTGAAATGATGGATTGTATTCTGTATAATTACCAAAATGATAAATCTGCAATTGGTTGCATATATGTCTGTGTATGATGATTACAGTTATATATCTTTACATTTAAATATTATCGAGTATGTCACGTATGTTATGTTGCTTGCTCTTCTATCAGTGTGATGTAAAAATGTTGCCTTGGATGTAAATGCATTTGCTGTTTGCAGGAGGGTTCACGTTCTTTGCTCGATATATTGTCAAACTGGACAGGAAGAGCAAAGAACCTGAGCTCAGGCAGCAATATTGGAATGGTTGTTTACTCTGGAGTAGAGAAATAAAGTCATGCCCCAATGTAAAAAAATCAACTGTTCATTATTTCTCTGCGGAACTTATTTTTTAAGGAGGAAAAAAGAATAAATTTTTAGTGAAAGAGTTTTGATTTATTGTTTCTTGGCCAATTATATATATATTATGTTATTAAAAAATCATGGTTACTTTTTCACAAATCACTGAGGTCAACATTTTCCAAATCTTCGTTCAATAACTCATCCACGGGCTTGGCAGGTTCGGGCTTTTTCACCTCCTGAACTTGCCTAGGGATGAACAGTCTGCTCCAAGAACCAGCTTCGGCTTTACGCAGACTCACCTCCAATTTTGTGCCCATCATGCTGGCAGTACTTTGAGTCACGTCAACGACACCGCCCAGTTCAATGTCCAGGTTGAAGGAACCGCCTTCCTCCGGGAAATACAGGTTGATAGTCAGTCGTACTGGGCTGAGCTTCACACTCGACTGGCCTGGGTCGTACTTCTTAGCATAGACGGCCACTGCGACATGCGTGCCTGTCTGGTGCCAATCATATCTACACTTCACCTAAAATTAGCAAATAAAGTAATAAATTTTTTATTTTTAGAGGTAAAAAAGTCATTTGATTGTTTAAAGTTGGCTCACTTGTGATTCAACGCTCCTCTTCTTGTCCCAACAGTGCCTTCCAGTTTCACAACCCTTTTGCTTCAAAAACTCGTCAAAGTCGCTCGTCCTCTTGACGCAGCACGACCAGAACTTCATGCCTTCGTGGAAGATCGGGAAGCCTGGATGGTAAAGGCACAGTCCTTGGTCACTGTGAGGGCCTTCGTACTGTTCCTTGCAAGAATTGTTTTTGCACGAAGTCCCGACCGGAGGCACCACGAAGGGCATGAAGGCGTCGGCCAGGTCTTTTGCCTGTGACTGCTGCAGCTGCTTTGCCTGTTCCACCAAGGCTGGAGCAACCTGAAGAAATAAATGAAGTTAAAATAATCTAAAATTATTGCAAATAATTATTCTAGTAAAATTAGGAAGTTATGTACTTGTTTATGATTATTTTGATCTATTTGAAAGAATCGTATTCCAAGTTAATGCTGGAGATTCCATCAAGTTGCAAACCTTAGGTTCGATGATGGCTTGTGGGCTGTCAAAGCCAGGCCGGGCCATGGCCACAGGGACAGGAGCTCTGTACTCGATGACCTCTTCAGCGGTTGATTTGTCCACAACTGGCTTCTCCTCCACAGGTTTGACTGGATTGTGGAAGGACGTGGCGCAGCCTTTGTAGTTGAGGAACTCGGTGAAGTCCGTCGACTTCTTGTTGCAGCAAGACCAGCTCTTGTAGGCATCGTGAAAGACCGGCGCCCCAGGGTGAAAAGTGCACGAGTCCTCCTTGTTTTCGCTGGGATCAAATTTCTGGCCACAGCCTTTGTTGTAGCACATCAGCAGTGATTCCGTGGCCATGCTGCAATTAGCGAAAAGGCGTTAAAATTCAGAACAATAATAAAATTACATTAAATTTTTCATGTAAATTTTCAATTCAGGAAAATTGTTGTGCGGCAAAATTGACCTAATTTGATGAGGATATTGGTTTAATTGAAATTAAAACCTACCTGGAGACTTCTAGAGTGGTGCAAAATTAAGTCTAGAGTTGCGTGGGCTTGGTCAACACATCCAAGCTGCAGAATTAGCAAAGGAAATTCGCGAAATTTCTATTCCTTTTCCCTATTTTAACATGTGCAGTTGTTTCTCACAATTCAGGTAGTGAATGTAAACAAATTAAACAATCGGTAATAAAAGCCGGTAAGTCACCAAAAAAATTAAATCAACTCTCCTTTGAACAAAAATAGCAAATGCAAAAACAATATAAAATTTTTAATCAATAAATTATGAAATTTAATTTTTTAGACGGAAAATAACTTTTAAAAATCATTAATTGAAACATTTAGAAACCGGTACGAAACAAATTCGCCTTCAGGGTTGTTGTTAAGGGCGGTGCTGCCATCTGCGGCGTGTTTTTCCGACTTTTTGGATGCAGGAAAAGGGGAGAGGGGCGATTGAACATGCTGCTGGCGACGAGGAGCCGCAAACAAACGTCTGCCGAGCTGCGAGGACGAGGAGGCTTCGTTCGACCGTACGAGACAAGTCTTTGGCCGCCTCATATCCTCCGTCTGTGTTGACATGAGAGTGGCCGAGTGACTGAATTCCGACCAAAACCGGTGTCGCAGAGGATTCGCGAGTGCTTTGTGAGTGTTGAAAGAGAGGAAGTTCGTGCAACACCGAGCAAAAACACGAAGGAATTTTTCCCACACACAAAGAAGTTCATAGTGAAGAAGAAGAAGTTTGCAGGAATTTTGAAACTCCAGCTGGTGCGAAGCAAAGGACCGTCGGCTTAAAGGTGAGAATGATTTAATTCATTGTTGAAATTCAGTTTTCAGGGTAAAATTTAAAAAAAAAATTCGAAATCAATTTGATTATTTTATTTTTTTAATTAAAAAAGAGGTTGAAAAATGAAGTTGCGGGGAATTTCATTACGTCTCAATGTAATTAATCAGACCGTTTTAATTAAAACCCCCTAATTTGTCAAGAAGCCGGTCGGCGTTTTTTTTTTTTTTACTTTGTTTTCATTCTCGGGAAAGATTTTCCAGTCGGAAACAATCAAAGGCCAATCAGGCGAAGAAAAATTGCCTGGGGTGCCGGGAATTAAGACAGACAATGGGTTCATCTTTCAACCCTTTTCCTCCGCCTTCCCCGCAGGGCTGATTGCGTTTTTTCTTCTCGGCCGCCAGCAGATTCCTCGTTCGACGCCTCGAGTGCGTGATAAATGAGAAGGGCTGCATTATTTTTTTCTCCATCCCTCTTCAAGGCCTCTCGGTGCACCATCGGAGGGTGCATTGATCCCGGCTTTCCGCCGCAGATGGGCCAAGCGTCTTGAATTTTAATGCCCGAAAGAGGGTTTCAATTTGGGGATCGGTGGCGAAACGTGCGGTTTTGCATCTAATTCGATTATGATCCCAGTCTGATCAGATCACAACAAAGTTCGAAAGCAGTTTTATTATTTACTTAATTAAGCGAATCTTAACTTGAATCTGCTGTAAAAATTCATTACACGTGATGAGGCAAAGTAATTGAGACTTTGAAATGAAAGACCAGACTTTTCTTCCGTAAAATCAACATTGCATTTTATTTTATTTCAGATGCTTGAATTATTCATTTAATACATATATTTTGTTTCTAGAATCAAGGCCAAAAAATAAACAAAAGTAAACAAAATGGAAATAAATGCAACTGATTGGCATTTCTGAATTCTTTAAAAATAGAAATCATTTGTTAAGAAGGGGACAATTTTGGCAATAATTATTTCCATTAAATATTATTTTTCTAATTTCATACAAGGTCCGCTCATCAGAAAATTTCGATTGTTGCCGAGCTCTCTGATTGGGTACAACTTTACTTGTACCCAATCAGAGAGCTCAAACAACAATCAAAACTTTTTTCGTTGTTGCTGATGCGCGGACCTTGATTTCATAGAATAAAAGGTCGTTATTTTAAGTAAAATTTTCATTTAAAAATTCTGACTAATTGGCTTTGATTGCAAAAACAGTTCATAATTTAAAAAATTTCATCTCTATAATGCTTTGCGAAAGATAATCTTTTGTATGTTTTCAATTTTTATGTGAGATCATCCAAATCAAACATTACTTTTTATCTGACCCATTTTTCAAGGTCAATTATATTTTTAGCGCTGGTGATTTCATCATGTTTGGGAAACTTTTATCTTATTTTTTTTATTTCTCCACATTTTTACATTTATATTTTTTGCTGCTTTTAAATTTGAATTTTGATTTGATTTTTTTCCATACTGATTGCAAGCAAGTTGAAACTTATAAAAAATAACTATTCTCACGTAATTTTACGAGGTGTTCGAGACCGGATTTTGCGTGATAAGCTCTTCCGATGGCAAACTTGTAGGTAATAATTGACTTTGGCAATCAAAACGGCGAAGAGCGCGCGCCCAATTTGTCTACGTTTCAGTGGCGCCAGCCAAGCCAGACACAAAGTGCACTCGGCCTTGTTTATTTAATTCTCGAGATGCCAAAATCGATAAAATTTTATTATTTCCTTTTGTCAGCGACCGTGTTTTTTTAGATAAATTAGTCGCCGTCGCAACCAAAACAGAGCAAGTGCCTATTTTTATAAAAAAGCGGCCGAGATTCTGCAGCGTTTTGCCGAGCGATTTCTTTTGATTCTGGTTGTTATTAAGAAGAAGAAGAAGAAAAAAAATAGAAGAAACGCTTTGGGGCTTCGCTTGGCAACAATACAATAGCAGTCGAGGCGCGCAGTTCATGCCTAATTCATCGAAAGAGCTCCTTTTATTTTCCCACGGATTTTTCATGCAAGATGATTGAGTTTGTTGCTCAAGTTTTTCCTTCTGTGCTCATTGTTATCATTTTCAAAAACAATAGAGTACATACAAGTTCTATAAAGTAATAAATTATTGGATTTTTTGATTTGAAACAGTCGAGTAATTCTAAAATAAAAGAAAGAGAATCCATCATTAGTAATTGAAATAAAAATTAAGATTTTTTATGAAAATTTTGTGTTGAAAATATGGGATTTTTACTTGGAATTAAAATTTGCAAAAATCTTATTAAAAATTATATAATATTTTTTACTTACATTTTGAATCTACCAAATTTATGTTCAACTTTTACTTTCTTTTTGTTTATTGTCCATTACATTGCACAAAGGTACACTGTTAAAAAAATCATGCACCGGCAAAATATGAAAATAAAATTAATCTATTTACATATAAAAAAAAATGCTGGGAAATGCATGAAATCAATAATTTATTATATTAATAAAAAGTATTTTGATTAAATTAAAAGTTACATCAATAAATTTATTTGAAAGTATTGAATTTAATTATTTAATTCGGCATTATACAAATAATTTCATTTGAAATAATTTGGACTTGTGGACAATTTAGAATCACAGATATTCTGCGGAGAAGATTGCGTGGAACCAGCACCGTACCAATTAACTCAGGGACCGACTGACTGTTCTCTGCTTTTTTCACCAAACGCAGCACAAATGACGAGGCAATGCTTGCACAACGTTCGGTGGCAAATCTAATTAGCGCGAGGCTTGATTTTCCGACGCCGCCACTTAAATTCGCGCTGCGGAACACATCGGGAAAGTGAGCGAGGCTTTTGTAGGGGGTACAGCCGAGTGCTCTGGTGTGTTATTTCATTATTAGCACTGCGGGGCCAGCGGCACGAAAGTTGGTGCGCTTCCCATAAAAGAGGCCATGCTGCGACCGACCGACCGGCAATGCACAGATCGATACACGCGGACTGGGTCGTAGACTCAGAGACGCCCTTTCAACCCCCGTCAACGTCTGCCAGATTTTGCCAAAATAAGAAGTGAAAAAATCAAGGTTGTTAATTTGAATAAAACTTGATAAATTTCATTTTAAATTCATAATTTTGACTGCGATTAAATATCTAAAATAAAAGAAAGTTATTAAGTTCAAATAGAGTATTTTGAGTTTAGAAGAAGAAAAAATAAATTAGTGTGGCAGATATTTTGGTATAATTAAATTTAAAATTTATCTAGGGAATAGCTTGGGTTCAAATTATCATGAAATAATATAAATTTAATTTATGAGGATATTAAAAATTTTGTTTATCTTTTCTGATGTTTTCCATTATAAATAATATTTTTTTTAAACCTGAATGATTCATTTCATTATTATTGTTGTTTATACGTCTATGGTGTTGAAATTCAATTAAAAAATAAATAAAGAAAAACAAGTTTGATTTGAAAAAAAAAATTGCATTGATTAGTCTTTCTCTCTCTGCGATATTTTTGAATATTTTACCACTTTAGTTTGTTTTGTTCGTGAATCGTGACGCACCTGGCGCAGACTCAAAATTTTGCATTTTGCCACTTTTATTGCTCAATCGTGAAATCGGACGAGGGCAGATGCTGTACCGGAGATTGACGGACGCACATCTGAATAGGAGTCACGTAATGTAAACACGCTGGCATGAATGAAAGGAAGACTGAATCGCGCAAACGAATGAGCTCCGCAGTCCGCTGTCCAAACAAAACAATAATAATAAAATGGCTCTTTTCATAAGAGGCTTACGTCATGCCGATGACCCCTGCCAGCAAACTCTTCAGATCGAGCGGAGGCGCAAAACTCCTTGGCGCGGCCAGAAGTAAAATAAACGCCTCAAATCAAACGGTTTAATTTTTCCCTGAACCATCTTGACTCAAAAAAAGATCCCATTATTGAATGCATAAAATAAATCATAAAGTAATAAAAACCGATTTCAATTCAAGGCTGAATATTGTTCCGAAATAAAAATAGGCACCGTAAAAATGTTGATATTCTTTGCCAAATGATTGTTTAAATTTTAAAATTAAATCTATCATTTAAAAATTAAAAAAAAAAAAAAACAATACAGAATAATACGTTTTTGTAAGCTATATAAAACAAAATTGTATCAGTTTAAATTAGGTTTTGATTTTTTTAATAAAGATTTGATAAATCATAGTGTTTCTAACAAAATAAACCATTGTAACTAGGGAGAATGAATAATTTTTGCGTAAATTTGATTGAAACGTTATGGAAAAAATTAAAATCTGAAAGAAATTATTCACATCGATTCACATTATATATAAAATTATTACAAATAATTTCTGCATTATTTTATACGAAATTTATATTTTTATGTCAGTGGAACATCATTTAATTTTTTATGCACAATTAATTATCATCATACGGATCAAACCGTTTAAATAATGGCAAAATTGACCGCTCCTCTCTTGGATTAGAGCTCGGCACGAAGCGAGCAGGAAGTCGGCTGCAGTAATGAGTTTGGATTTTTTGCACGTCGGCAAAAAGCACCGCGATGAGTCATAAAGTTTAATCAAACACCCAGTGGCCGCAATAATATTCCGCTCCCTAATCTCTCCTCGCGCAGTTTTGCAAGTGATAGCCGCAAATGAAACAAAAAACGGGCCAGGTGATTTATTCACTCTCGCTCTCTCCAGGCCGGTAATTGCAGCGTGCGGATTTTTTCCCCCGCCATGTTTAGCGCGGCATCCATCAACGCGCCCTTTAATTAACGAGCGTTTTAAAAATGAACCGGCGTAACTTTGTTCGCGCCCGATCTTGTTGTCCGCTTGCCAAGCGCTGCAGCTCGACTAATTCGGGCTATTTGTTTGACCCTTTGGCCCCGATCATCATCGAGAGTGGAAGGCAAAAGAGTGCTGCGGGATTCGGAAAGCAATAATTGGCCCTGATGATCATTAGTGGTCTCGCTCTGGTGAGGGTCAATTTAAACAACGTAGCGCATTCTTGCCCTGATTTTTATTCGAATTTAT